CCAAATTTAAGCAAGACCAAATTTGATTGCAACATACCTGCAGCAGGCTGTCGAAAACAATCAGGTCAGTCTTCCGCTCGTCTAGGTACTGAAGAAGTCGCCGGTCTTCAAGAAACCTTTCACAAGATTCTTGATTTCGTACAAGAATCCTGAAACAAATTTATATTGATATGTAAGAATTCTATGCGTGAATGTGTCGCTAGATTATACTGTGTCATACTGCGCGGGCCTCGTAAATCCCAAGGGCGTGCAAAATCGGTTGGCTGGTACATCTCCCACAGCAATGCACCTCCACTTCGTACTAATTCAATGCCTAAAAATACGCCACCCTTGTCTTGGAATTCTTTTTCAGCATACATGTGGCATGCTTAGGATCGTAACACTCATGTACATTTTTCCTATATTTCTTCCCCATAATAGTTTTCTCTGTGAAAGGCTAGTATGACTTTTTTGTTAAGTTCATTCATGGTGTATTTCTCAAACATTTCTTCTACGCAATCAAATGACATCGTTTAGTGGACTGGTTTCTGTTGCTATGTTATCCGTGATGATAAATGGCGGAAATGAAAATTTGAACGATGTTTACCTTCTTTGTCATGTCCCCAGTACCTGATTTTCGTCCATTGTGAAGGCAAACCAATCTCACCAAAGCCGAAATCGTAGAGGTACGTTTGGATCCATGTTATGTTGGTTCCGTGGGGCATTCCCATCCCAACATCTCTCATCATGACATCGTGACTGTACACTCCAGTTAAAGGTATTAGGGCGACATCGAGAGCCGCAAGTGGACGAATAGTGAGAAGTAAAAAGAACAACATGCGCAACACCGATTGGGGATAGAGGGTCGACACAGCCGGTTCAATGTTGGGAAAAGTGCAAGGAGCAGTTCAGAAGGAACAAGTCGGGTTGGGTGGCGCCCTAAATACAGAGGGCAATGTTTGGGCAGAAACAGTGTGAACTTAACATGATGATAGATAGCTTTTTACTTCGTCAAATTGATTTTTGATCTGCAGGTACAATGTCTGTCTTAGGCTTGGAATGATGTTAATGATGATAAGCCAGTCTCGATTTCGTTCTCGACATCACCCGCCACCGCACATTTAGG